TATTTCTCTTTCTTTTTTTCTCTTTCAGTTCAGTCCTTTGTTTTTGTATTTGCACATGCAGGAATATCTTTTAAATTCTCTTTCTCTTTCTTTACTGTTGCAAGTTTTGACCCCAAGTGATGGTTGTTTCCTTTTCACATCATCAGCAATGTAAAATTTCTCTTTCAATTTCAAAAATTTTTACAACCATGTTGATCATTACTTTCTCCAATTCAATAATTGGATGGATCATACATGCTCTTGTCTTCAGTGATTAACATGTGGAGTAATTCACCTTTACATTTGATCTCAAACTATTTGGTTCATCAAATATATGTCCACATGCGGCATAGTGTGTGTGAGTTAGGACTAGGCTTCAGTCTCTTTATTATGCAATCTCCTTTACTTGACAACAAAGGAAAGGGTGTTGATCGCTCAAGCTCTGCAGTCCAACTGATCTTTCAGATATTTTTCCTGCACCTTTCATATTAGATCATGTGATTCCACATGTGTGTGAGATGCTAGTTTTAGTTCTCATCCAATTTTGTTTCTAGGGTCAGTCATTTGGCTGCCCAACTGTTCATCCGACTGCTGACTTGAATAAGTTCATAGAGAGAGAGTGGTTTAACATCACAGTTAAAGAGAGAAGGAAAGAGAAAGTGTAAAGTGCATGGAGGGTTAGAGGGTTGGTTGCATAGTAACATAACAATATATATATATATATATATATATATATATATATATATATTTGAGAGAGACAGAGAGATTTTCATTAAGAAGTATTGAAAATATGAAATAAAAATATGTATTTCATTACAATATTTACGAAACAAGCAAAATCAATATTTTATGAACCAAGAAAAACCAAAATAGCTATATGACACACATTGTTTGTGCATCTATTCTGTAATTTTATTTAAGGCTATATAAACATTGTTGGCAATGAGCTATGCTAAAATCAGTTTTTGATTTGCAGCATGAAGCAATAGATGCACTTAATTTATTCTCTCTTTAAATATGGAGATAATGAAACAAAGTAGAAAAGTTTGGTCAGACAATGTATTTTGCCTCTTTATGTCAGACCTATTCAGGCTGGAATGAGACAAACCCCTGTATGTAAGGAAAATACATTGGTATTAAGAACCTTATATGATGCTTCAGTCAGAATATTTTTTTGTTTTTACCTAAAGACAGCTGCCATAAAGATGCAAAATGCATTGTCTGAATAAGGTTTCCCACTTTGTCTTATTATGTCCACCTTTGTTCAGATATTATTCTACATCCTACTAACACCCATACTACTAAGACAGTAGTGACAGTAGTGAATATGTTAAAATAGAAATTACTGTTGAATAAAACAAAAATACCGTTGTCAAAATTACATAGTTTTTTAAAACTTGTCACACAAAAAATGACATTACCTTTTAAGATGTAGAAAATTCTGTCATCCAGGTTTTTTATATTAAAAATCTGAACCTCTGAATTCCAAACAATAATAAAATATAAATAAAGAAAACATGGTTATGCCTGTTAAATAAATCATTTATATTTACAAATATATGTACATGAGTTTCAAAGAATCAGAAAGGAGTAAAAATAGTCTTTAGTTTTGTTAAAGTCTTTGAGTAGCTGGTCCACAAAAAGACTTTGACTGTCAGCAAAAATTCATTGATCGTCCAAGCTTTTGTTGTTGGAGATGATTTGTTTGAAATTACTGACACATGTTTCTTTCAGCATGCATTGGAAAAACTTAATGTAGGCACATCTCTTGTATTTGAACAGCTTGGAGACAGTTGCATCTCTGCTGTTGAAAGTTGAAAGCTGTAGGATTTTATAAGAAATTTTCCCAATAGTAGGCTCAAGAAAAATAAGATTTTAGTTTTCTCTGATTGGTCAAATATTTCACATGGTGATGTTAATTTCTAACCAATAGACACTTTGATTTAAACAGTGGGTGTTGCATTGTGGAAACTTTGTGGCATATTTGTAAGTATTATCTGTTATTGGGTAGAAAATAACATTTGGGTGTGTTTTAATATGGTATGTATGTGTTGGAAATAGGGTTTGTTTCTTATAATGTAAATAAAGATAAATATTAGTGTTCTTTTTTGTTGACAAGTCTTTATGAAGACCTTGACTTAAATCAAGGGTAATTTTTATTAGATATTTTTATTGAGTGGAGATGTTTCTCTTTAAGACTTTGGCATTAAAGTATGTATCTGATCTGCTGCTACCATATTGGTTTTATAAATTGGGGGTACATTTTAGCCTTCTTCCAAAATACTATTACATACATTGCAGTATATTATATGTAGAGAATTTAATGTGAGATTTGAAACTGAGTGACATTTTTATCTGGCTAGCCAGAAGTTCATTAGAAAATTCTTTTTTTTTATTAAAGGGAAAGAAAATAAAGTTTAGTGTAACAGTCTTTCTTTCCGAAAGCTTGACCTTTTGTCTCTGGGTGTGGTAGGTCTCCAAAATCAGTGGTACACAGAGAAAGAGAGAGGGAGGGAGAGATAGATAGATAGATAGAGAGATAAAATTATGTATGAAACTCTGAGTTTATTCAAGTTAATTCTGTTTGAGTATAATTATTATAATTGTATATTAACATATATAAGCCCAAAAATATATATCAAAGAGAGGTTTCTTCATATATGTATATATATGTATTAACAAAAGTATGTCCATACATGTATATTATTTTTATAGTAAGTGTTGTATATATGTAAAATTATATTTTTATATTGAATTATATTAGACTGACAGTATATATGCATATAGATATGCAGCAGAATATAATTTTATATAAATATACACACACACACATTATGTGTGACATGGTATACAAGTAAGTTCTTATATATACAAACTTAGAAATGTACAAGAACTTTTCTCTCTTTCTCTCTCATATATTTATTCAGCCTAGCCCTAACCCTCCCAAATCTGACCAAGTGACAAAATATCTCTTTATGGTCACACCAACAACTTTCTCACACTCTTTGTGTGTGTGTGTATGTGTGTATACATACTAATTTTATTAAAAACACAATGAATTTCTTTAAGTTCCAATTACCCTTTCATGTTTGCACAAAGATTGTGTCTATTAGTGATGTTTTCAACCCTACCTCTGGTCATTTTCATGTCCTATGGTTCTTCACTAGTTAAATGTTATCATCATCAGTTGTTGAATATATTTAAAACAGCAGTTACAACATTGAAGGTGATTTTGTTTTTTTTTATTTTATGGTAAGGACTTCTAATATTTGGAGTCTTTTTTATTACAGTTAATATTATATACTATATATTTGTCATCTGTATGTATTTACCTGATACTCGTAGAGGTGGGTTTGCCTAGTGGTGTCTGTTTATTGATATGTGCATGGATTGCATTGTGATCAGTGAAGTAACAGGATGGAGTTCTATGTCTAATGTAGCAATTTGATGTTTGTACATCATAAAGGATACATTATTTACAGATGATATCTAGTATGCTATATTGAGATTGATTGATTGATCCACTTAAATTTGAAAGTCTTGTTGAACAGAATTTTTACTTTTTTATTCTCTACTGCTGCTTTGTGCATGGGTTTGCATGGTCAGATGTCAGTCATTTGCACAGTTCTTAGTAATGCACCATTCCTAACCAGTCATGTCTACTTTTGTACTTCCTTTAAGCTAAATTTATACATTCATTTACAGGATTTGTTGAGGTTTTCTGATCCTCTTTTCAGTTCTGCGGCAAATTCTGTCATCAGTCTTTTATTACTCACCAAGTCCTTTAATAGCCAAATCTTCAGTGCTGAATCTTCTTCCATTGTCTTTTATTTTCACATAAAATCTATTGAAATTATTATCTGGGGTAAAAAGCTTTAAACATGATTATCAATTTCCTTATTCTTTGATTATTCTCAAATCTAGAATTAGGAAGGATCATGAATGTTTTTCAAGATGGATAATGTTTAAGTATTTGCATAAGGTTTATTTTGGTGATTTCTATCCACAAAATCTTTTTTGTTCTTCTAAGTTGTTTATCTTTCATTTCATTCTGTTTAATTGAATGTCCTGATGGCATCATTGTTAGTGAGTCAAATTGCTTCCATCCCTAAGAAAGCCACTGGCCCAGACAAAATCCCAGTGGTTGTCATTAAGAATGTCAATCTGGAATTATCCCTGATCTTAGGAAAATTATTTAACTACTGCTTGAAAGAGAAATACTTGTCTGTGGAAGATGTCAAGTGTATGCTTAGTTTCCAAAAATGCAGATGAATGCTCATCCTCCTCTCAGTATAGAACTGTCAGTCTCCTTAGTGTCATCAGCAAACTTTTTGAGGCTATAATCAACAAGGACATTTTTGATCACCTAAATAGGAATTACCTCTTGAGTGACAAGTAATACAGGCTTTGTTTGGCCTGATCCACTGCTGATGTCCTAACTGCTGCTCTGTGAAACTGACTCCCAAGAGGATGTTTTTTTCCAATCACTACGAACTTAACCTGTTCAAGTCTAGGGTTAACTGTTGTCTTCTCCATATAGCCCCATAAAGTGTGGCTCTTACTTTGTAACCCTCTACCTTGAGTGGCTCCTGGGCCTTGTACAGTATGAACATCCCTGTAAAAAAAAATTACACCATGTTCCTCCTTTGTACTAACACCATACATTTCTTATTTCCAAATTATGTTCCAATGTCATCATTAAAAATTGTTTGTCTAATATATTTGATTCATTTTTATTTTTGGCAAATAATTTCATGTTACCCAAATGATCTTTTTGATGAGTTGCTTTACAATTCTATGATGAATGAAAGGGAAATTAAGAGATTCCTTGTAAAATATCTTGTTGACTTTGAAAAAGGCTTCTACATCTCCCCTTTAGCTCTGGCAGCCTTTCATTGCATTAGATATAAATTTGATCAAGAGTTTGATTATTTTGTGCATTCCAATATCCAAGACTGAATAATAAAGTCATCTTCCTTGATGGTGATAAATCAATAAAAAAATTAACAATTGTGATATCAATGCATTACAAAAAATTTTTTTATGTTCTTGTTAATTTTGCACTGATTTTTATTTTGCAGAACTCTGGCAACAAGAAAGAAGATGCATGGTTACTTAATAGAATTGAAATTACTAATACAGCTAAAAAAAAAACATGGTCATTCCTTTGTTACCAATGGCTTTCATTATTCCATGGGGATGGACACTCTGAAAGAAAATTATTTCCTCACAAATTAATCAAAACTGGTATGTACATACTTTATTTCTGTAACACTCTCATAATTGCAATTATTCGACTTAATGTGTGTGTGTATATGTGTGTGTAAGTTCATCACAGCTGCACCCTGAACAACACCTCTCTTTTTCTCTTTTTTGATGTTGACAATTCAAATTTAAGCTAAAAAATTATAAAAATAATATTTTAAATCTATTACATTAATAATAAAATAAAAATGTACATAAAATAAATATTAGCTTCCTAAATTTAATATTTTAACAGTGTAATACTCCTTAAGGCAATGTAGATGTATATTCTTTGCATGAAGTTGTCATCATTTTCTTATAAATATACATTACAAGCAAACACCCAAGAAAATCTTTTAGAAAATATTGGTGTAGAGGCTTTTTCAAGAATTCATGACAATTCAAAGGTAATGAAGAAACAGGATCTGTGAAGAGCCATGAATAATCTATGACATTAAGAGATTTGGGAATTTAAAAAAAACGTCCCATGGAAGTTGTTTTTAGCAGCTTTTATTCTTTCTTATAACATTGCTTCAGGCATCAAACATAACCTGAAACTGGATAATTCCAGCTTTCTGGACAGATGTCTCAACAACATAATTATTGCTCAGCACAAATTTCATTATTTTTCTAGCAAAAATCAAATTTACTTCCAACAAATTAAAATCTAAGGTTTTTGGCATCTTTCTACTTTTTAGATTCCACTTGCTTAATACTATTGAATTTAAGGTTGTGTGTTGATGTTTTGCAGGTGTGTGTGTTTATTTACAATTAAACAATTACAATTAAAGAAGAATGGACCATTTATTCTTTTTTATGTAGAAACTGTATTGAAACAAAGTTCTCAATGTCTCTTGGGTATGTCTTGTTTTCCTTTTCTAGTTCAGAAGTAAGTTGGGGTAATAAGGATAAAAAAAGGTATAATATAATATATAATATGATCCACATAATGTTGAAATTTTGTTAAACAAAAACATTACATTTTAATACTTTCAAAGCTGCTTCTTTGTTATTTTCATTTTAATGTTTGAATTAATTATCCAACTTAAAACTGTTTTAATAAAACAAAAATCATACTGGAAATATGAATTCTGGAGACATGAAGCAAAATAAACGTCAAAATAACTTATTTTATTGTTTAAAAATGAAGTAACTATTATTCTTATGACTTTTTATATCATAAATATACATTTTTATGATTAGAGAAGTACCTAGAAAAAAAATCGAGTCATAAAAAGATGTGGTTTAGCAGTAGGGTTGGAGGTGAATATTTTATATGTAAAAATATTGAATAAAATTTATTGAATTTGATTATATGGAATTAACTTTACATAAAAATAACATTCTTATTAAATTAATTTTGTAGTATAAAAATATTACATTTACTTCTATTTTATGTTTTTAATGATAAATTAAACTAAAATTCAACATACTTTTTTTTAAATACCTTTTACAAAGAAAAACAAATTACTCATAAAAATTAAATTTTATCATATAATTATTGTTATGAATCACAATATCATAAAGAAAATATTAAATTACCTTTTTGTAACAAATAATGACATTTTTAAATAAATTTTGCATTGTAAAATAGAATTTAAAAACTCTTTGGAAGAAAAATCTCAAAGATTAAACCAAACATTAAAATTAACTTAAAATTAACATTAAAATTAACTGTGAGAGTTTTTATTACATTTGTAAGAAGAGAGACTTGAACTAATTGGATTATTTACTTCAATCAAATACAATTTTGCATTTTTTAGTTAGGACCTACTGCCTTTTCCAGATCTTTAATTTTTTTAAAATTTTGTGATCTAAAATATTGCATTATGATATAAGAACTGTAGTAAGAATTCAACATAATTTTTTACCTGCTAGAAACAGATGAAAAAAATTCATAGAGAATATTCAATTAACTTTAAAGGAAAAAATATTCAATAAACTTCCAAGTAACAAAATAAAAATTACTAAATTACACTTATTAGTGAATTTAGCACAAAAAAGTTTGTTTTAACAATAAATATGAAATAATAAAGCAAGTCCAGAGGAAACAAAATAAATAAATTTTATGCTTGCTTCAATTAAATAAGCTAATAGTTATTACAAGCATAAAAGCAAAATATATTTTCTATAATTTACTAATTTTGAAATAAAAATTTAAATAACTTGCAGCATTAACAGAAATTTCTAGAGCCACTCTATATATAACCATGTATTTTGTAAAAAGTTTGATTGAAAGGTTCCAAGTTTGCTCATTTGCTTGAATAGTGCTACTTAATTCCTTTGTAGACACCTACTATTTTGTGTTTTTTCAACACCAACTGAGCAAAACACCCTGTGGTTTATATCTGGGAAAAGAGTGCATAATCCAAAATAATCAGTGGTTGAACTATGCCAATACACTCAAATCCTCAGTCATAATGACTTGTGACTCCATATTAGCACAAACATCAATGGCTTCAAAACATGTTCATGTAAACAATTTCCACTCAACATTTTGTCTCAATATGTGTTTCAGGCAATTCCCAATGGTAGTACATGCTAGTATCATCTTAGATCTATTTTAAATGATATTTTTCATATTGATAGTTGGCTAATCAGTATTGGATAAGAAGTAGGCAAACCCATGAATATTGCTGAAACTAAACTTAGTTTGGCACAAGGTTACAAGTATGGAGACCCCAATGAGGTCTGACTTACTACTCAGTAGTAATGATTAACTAGACTAGCTCATTAAACACTACCACTCATTAAAACACCATAACCAAGGAATATTATTGGTGTCATTTTATAGTCTTTCCTCAACATTTTAACTTTGGTTTGTTCTTATGGTGTTACACTTTTATGTTGAATAAAGCCTTAGAATGAGGTTTATGTCTTCTCTTTATTATCATATAGCATAAATATCTTGACCTTTAATTTGTATTGGATAGTCAGCACATTTCTCTCTCAGATGTATTGAGAGCAGTAATATGGCATATGGCAATCAGACAGAAAATAAAAACACACACCATGCTAGTTGATCATGCTGTCAATCACAGTGACTTGGAGAGAGCAAGCTTCTTGAAAATGACAAAGTGAACAAGAGGAGGAATGACAAGTGAACAACCTACAGATGCACACACAATGATGCACACAAAGTTCACATCATATGTGATGGTCTGAGGGCTATGTCATGCTAACCTACATCTTTCCACAAGACCTCTGGGTCAATATCACCACATACATTGATGTGCTGGACATGGTGGTGATGCCTTAAATAGATATACAGTAAAACTTTACTCCCTTTCACAATGTGACCCAAGAGTAACATGCTAAGAATCTTCATATCATATCTAGCAGATGATCTAGATTTCCTGATTTGAATCTCCTGGACAATCTGGGGTCAAGAGAGAAACCAACTAGTGGACTTACATTAATAAGGTCTCATTGAAAGTTGTCATCATTGCTGTAATTGCCAATATGAATGAAAATGATTTGAACATGTAGTTATTTCTAAAGTCACATCAAGGCCATCTCTGAGACTGAAGACATTTTCATTGATTAATCTTTTTCTCTGTTTTTCCGAATATGTGCACATAGTTTTTTGGGAGTAATATACTGATTCTTTTTTTTATTGAATATCTGTTTTTCTTTATATTAATATTTATTTTCAATTACCTACTGAACTGTATATCTAAATTCCATGTATTAATGTAGAGTATATGCTATCTTTTTAATTTTCTGTTTCTAGGTAAATAAGATCTTGATGTATTATATTATGTTATTTATGATAATGTCATTTCAGAATATGAAGTGGTCACAGTAACTGGAGATGCAGTGGATGCAAGTACCGGTGCAAATGTATTCATTACATTGTATGGCAAATTAGGGGTGAGCAAGAAAATTCCTTTGAGAAGTAAGAAGGTTTGTTTCCAGAAAGGTGAAAGTGACAGATTTCAATTGAAAACCACTTGTATTGACCCACTTATTAAAATCCACATTGAACATGACAACACAGGCTTTTCTCCTGGATGGTTTTTGGAAAGGGTAAGTGAACATGTGCTAAAAACTGTAGATGAGATTGTCTCAAGGACATTTAAATTTAAGAGAAATGTTTTGTTTTTATATTGAATAATAATGATAGATATCATATGAGAGATGCATATGGCCTTATTAGTTGACAACTGACAGAGAGCATTCTCTAAGAGTGAGACATGAAGAAGAGATTAAATTGTCCAAAAGAAAGTTTAATTTTTCTAAAAATACAGCTCTTCTGAAATAAGTTCTTTAAGGAGATCCAAAGGTAAAAAATAATTTGTTTGCAGAGGATATTTGGAATCATGTTTTGGTGAAGAGGTAAGATTCAAATATAGGAAGATTTTTAAAACCTTAACCAAATCAAGAATTGAAAGAAAAAATGCTTGAATCTACAAAAAGTTAATATTTTTTCTATTCTTAACTTTCTTAATGTGTTATCCAAGTCACGTTTGTTTATGAAGATCACATTAAAGTTTGATAGTCTGAATAGAATTCTCTTTTGTATAGTGAAATACCGAGAAGCCATATGTTCTTTAAGATCCTATTAGATATATCTAATAGGATTTTAAAGAACATATGGCTTCTCGGCATTAATTAGATTATTATTTTCAGTTACAGATACAATAATCAGATTAATCTATTTTATGCTATATTCTTTAAATTTTAATTAGAAATTTTAGCAGTATAAAGGGAAATATTTTATTTGTTTCGATTGATTGTATTCTTGAAAAAGATACAAGTTCATATGATAGAAAAACATGTTGGTTTAGCCTTTGAATAAATGGGATAAAATAAATCTTATTGTTTTAGTCATACTGGTATGCTTATTTTCTTTGTTTTTGTTATGCACAAATAGAAGATGTAGCAACAGTAATATTCATATGTTTATTAAAACCAGTATTCCAAAATTCATTCTTAATTCAGGTAAAAATAATTAGAATGTTATGTATTTATTCATGTATTCATTCATTTTTGCTGATCAGATAAACAGGTCAGTAAATAAATGATAAGTAAAATTCATTATGTTGTAATATACACATAATGTTGTAATGCCTCAGGTTTATGCAAAATAATAGGAAAAAGACACATAAGTAGAGAGGAAATAAGATTATCAAGGGGCAATGCATTATGGGAATGAAATGGAAACCACAAAAGCCAAAAAAGAATAACATTTATTTCCCACTTCATAGCAGAAAAAGAATCCAGACTCACCTAGAACCTCTGAAACATAATATCAGAAACTGTAACCTACATATATCCATACAATCTTATTGATTGTTCTTTCACATCCAAAACAAGTGTTGCAAGAACTCAGAGAAGATTATCACCATTGCACAAAGTTTCACATCATTATTCACATATTTAGCTCAAAGTTTCATTGAAAATCTTGTGATTTAAGAAGAATTTCATATCTAAATTTGTACCTATTTTCAACATGGTTACCATAACAAAATGCAGTATATAACCTGATAATAGTTCTGTTTGCAATAAAAAAATATTTTGCAAGGAGACCATTCAGAATAATGTCTTGTTTTAAAGGAGTGCTAAAACTAATTTGAACTGATTATCTTCTGTTTTTTTCAGGTAGGAGAAAACCTGAAAAAATGATAGCATTTGTTGAATTGGTACAAATCCCAGAAGCAATAAATTAATTAATAACATATGAGACTAGTAAGTGCTCCTTGAAAGAATTGTTTTGGCTAAAGTTTTAAATATTTTGTATCAAGATGAGTGACAAGTATTTTTCTTTTTGTGTGCATTCACAAAGAGAGATATTTAATTAAGCTGAGGAATGGAAGGCTACCTTTGCCTTATGTGGAATATAGCACAAAATCTTTTTAATAGGAAGGTTTATGAAAATGTATGTTGCATCTTGATATTAATCTCTACATGAACTCTGCTTGCAATGAAAATAATCAACAATTATTACAAGAAGATTCAGTGTGATCAATTCTTTCTATAGGCCCCAAGGGAACCTCAAAGGGTTCTTTTATTACATCAGTGTTTTCTGCCTCTGATACTCTAGACATGGTGCTAGATCCCTTAATGATACCATTAATACCTGTCCATCTTGGTGCTTAATGGTGCTTTTGAATAATCTCCTATTTTTTACAAGATTGACAGGTATACTCTCTAGCCAGATATGTTTCTTTGGTGTAGTAGTCCACAACAAAAGCAGTTTTTTTTTATTAGAAGTATGAAGCAACCTTCCTCTATTGAATAATGCAGCAATATGTCTACTTACATTTTTGTCCTTTTGAAGTTCTTCTGTGGACTCTGCAATAGCAATGATGAAGTCTGTCAGCAGCATGTTGTTGTTGTAGGCATTCGAGTTCATTTGCACCAAGTCTCAGGAGGAAGCCTGTCTATAGACAGATTGAAAATCCAGGGTAAAATTCTCAAGTAGTCACTGGCATATTATGGGGCAAGCCAAACTGTTAATGTCACTTACAAGTAGTCCTTCTTGGTACTATTTGGCAGTCATCATTTTAAAAGCACAGTTTTGTACTGAGTCTGTGGAGTTCTTGCTGGAATTCATCCAGAGATTTGCCTGGTTTCTGTTGACAGGTAGCTAAAATGTGCCTGGTAAAAATTTCATTTTTCATCTTAGCACATAGTTGTTCTAGCCATCTTGAACAAAATGCAGCTAACAATCAGCCTAGGAGTAGTGAGACCACATTCTTCAATGAAGTTGTTTAACATTTTAATCAAGTGTTTACATTCCTTTGCTACTGTAGGAGAGTTAAGTTTTGATGGTTTAAACATTGTCTCTATGACAATATCAACAGAATAAATACAATAATTATACAACTATTACATTAAATTGTAATGAAAATAATCAACAATTATTACAACTTAAGAAACTTTAAATGAACTCATTTTACAGGTTACTGTTAGTCCCTTTGTTTGCTTGTGGCATGATAGTCCAGGATGGTTCCTTAAGGACTGATAATCTTATTTCACAATGGAGTTCCCTAAGGATTATTAATTATTAATATTACAGTTTTCTTATTTTAGCTTTAACATTTTAGGCTTGTTATCCAACTGTGCATTGTGGCCAACATCAATGAAACTCCTTGTTGTCCTTCCTCATAAATATAATATAGTCTGTTGACAACAATCAATAAATGTTGACACATGTTGATATACAGAGACAAATTCAATCTTCTCTGCCCCTACTCCCTTGGGAAGTCCTTTCTGAGAGAATGATTACCTCCAACATTGACCAAAATGTAAGAACTGAAAACTATAAAGATCTGCATCAAGAGGATTTGTGCATGTTTCAAAATTTGCTTAACCAACATCACAGAACAATTCTGTAATGGAAACTTGAAGTCTTAAACCTAATCTTGCTTTCTGCTTCTTCAACTTAACCAGAGCCAATAACTTTATACTAATTACAATGTAATTAGATGGTGAAATTTTTTACTCATAAGCCTAATGTTCTTTCTTAAATATCATCTTCTATATAGGGTTTATTTTTATACCAAGAGGGGGTTATTAATGTCTAACATGTGAACTGTTTCATTCACTCACTTTATCATTTGGTTTTGTTCTCCATCACTTATTCTGGCTTCATTCTACACGGGTTAGAGACTTCCCCTTCTTTTTCCTAGATATATTATCAACCATGATTGATTTCATTGACTCTCCCAGTTTATGCATTTCTGATGTTCCTTCACACTTGCTTTTTAAGGAGCAATTGATTTCACTTTTGTATTCCCTGCTATGATTGGCAATTCAATTCCTGGGTCAGTTTTGTGCAAAAAGTTAAGTGAAAGAGACAAGTGACCTCACAAATAAACTAGGATAAATTAACTAGTAGAAGATCTTCTCAAGTATGGATAGTGTAGTGAGAACAGGATTAGATTTTGTCATATACCATGTCTGGTTGAAAACACATGAAAACAGCAAGGACTGCTGGTGAGGCAGAAAAAAAAGGAAACAAGATATATTAAAATAAAATTCTCTGTATTATCTGTATAAAGGATCACTGAGGAATGTTTCTTTGTGGGTGAGGGAAGTGACCTGGAGGATGTGTGAGTTAGTAGTGTATGGACCTGGTGTTGACTTAGGGCCACTTGTGAACTCTGACTGACTGACTGCCTTGAGTGTCATGAGTGGGTCCTTTTAAGCAGTCAGAGTGGATACATGACTCAGCATTTTTGCCATACTTTTGCTTTAACAGCAACATTCAGGATTGGCTCTAATGTTTAAATTGTATTTTATATTTTTGTGAGGATTTATATGTGAGCCAGATGCAATACTCCAAACCACTGCACAGATAGAGGACTTTTTTTAATTTTGTTTTTATCATGTTCACATCTGGTCAACAGGTTTTGATGCAGAATGAATCAAAAAAAGATCTGATTTGAAGCAGAGTATAAATTTAAAATTTCTGGAAGACTACTTAATTTAACAGAGACTGAGGATTGCTGGAGAGTACAATGGCCAAAATATTTTGACTGTAGCAACCAAGATTCATCCAAATAAATCAATGTATTCAGCCACTGCCCCCCCACCCACCGACCAAATAATTACATTTTATCCATTCTGCTTTCTTCCTGAATTGGTTCATGTTCATCTATGTTCACTAAGCACTTTTTATTAGAAGCCTTTAAAATGTTGTTACTTCATTTACATAGAGATATGATCATGCACTCTGACAATGGACTCTAATTAATTTCATTGCAAAAGAAGAGTTTGTGGTTGGTAAATATCCATTAAGGTTAACAGACTGTACTGGATATTATATGACTCAAATGAAAGATGATACTTTTGCAGGATTTACCAAATTATTTGTGTAAAGTGGTTTGAAAAATGGCAGACTAAGTTCATAGTGTCTAAATGAGGGTGTTGGAAATGTCATAAAATTGAATCCCTACATTGGGTGTGCTGCTTATATGATATATCATCCTAAGATAAGAACTTGGATAGCTATGGTATTATTAAGGTATAAGCTGAATTGTCACAAGCAATATAATGAAGGTCATTTGATTTTAGCAATGATTATTACAGTGTATTTTCCATTGACAATATGACTGGCCATTGACTCGACTTTTATTTAAATTTTTCATTTCTTTTTTATTTTATTTATAGTTCCTGATTTGTTAACTAAAATTGCTTTAAAAGAAATAACAAAGCAAAGAAAAAATTTTCTATTCACTGTATCATGGAAAATGCTTAATAGCTTTGAAATATCCACACACTGGAAAATAATACATGCTCTGTAGGTATTTATCTACATACCCACTTAAGCAGAATGTGATACAAAGTCTAGTTTAAAGTAGGTTGGTAACCCATATATATGTGAATTGGCATAAAAAAAAACCCTTGCCTCCTTGGCACTTCCGTTTTTGAGAACACCTCAGGTAATGACCCTGGCACTTGCCAAAGCAGCTGTTATACATTTTAAGCCAATCAACATTCAGCAGGTAAAGTCATGAATAATTCAGATGGTGAGTAATCTTGGTACACTGCCATCTTACCAAAGAGATGAGTTTTAACTCAATTTTAAACAAAGAATTCTTTTAAACAATTGATTCAAACATAGCAGATTGTGAATTATTATTTAGGGCACTTCTCATTTGGAAATACTAATTCAAAAAAACTTTGTTCATGGTGGTTTTCTCAGAGTATTCCCTAACAGTTATTTAGACAAAAATGTCATCTTTTTTCATAACAAAGGCCTTTTTCATACCATAGCCAAAAAGTTTGAAAAATAGAAACAAATAAATTTCCTTTTCAATATGTCTGGACTTTAAATAAGGAAAACCTAAGAAAAATAATTTATGTTTTGATACAGCTTAGTTAAACATTTCACAGACGAATCTGGTAAATTCAAAATCTGAATGAATAATCTTTTGAAAATGGCAAAATCATTAAATTGTAATTTGCTTAACAAAATATTTTGAATTGTTTAGACTCTTGTTTAAAAATACAGGTGCACTTTTACCTTTGTGATACATATTTAATTTTGTGATTCATAAACAATGCCACTTTTTCCAGAATAATGTTAATTGATCAGAGGTTATTTTTAATTTAATTTTACCTTCATTTTTTTACATTTTTTAACAGGTTGTAGTAACCAATCTAAAAGGTATTAAAAAACCATATTATTTTCCATGTGGAAAATGGTTGGCAAAGGATAAAGGAGATGGCAGCATCAGTCAAGATCTGATTGGAAGCAGAGATCCTCTTCTTATGAGAAAAGGTCACTCAATGATTTTCAAGAAACTTCTTTTTTCAATTTTGTTATCAGGGAAATAATTCAGTTGAAAGTAATCAGATTTTTCAATCTGAACATCTCTATATATAACATTTATTATTCTATAGGCCTGAATTATGATTACATATATATATATATATATATGTCTGATTGAATAAATTACAAACATTATGTCTGCTTATTTTTATCATAATCCTTTCATATTGACAAATGAGAAACAATGTAATATACGAAAAAATATTTGTCAATATGAAAGGATTATGATAAAAATAAGCATAATGTTTGTAATTTATTCAGTCAGATATGTCTAAAAGAGAATTTGCTGTCTAAATACAGACACACACACACATATATATATAAATATAAATATATATATATATGTGTGTGTGTGTGTCTGATTGAATAAATTACAAACATTATGCTTATTTTTATCATAATCCTTTCATACTGACAAATATTTTTTGTATATTACAATTGAATGAAGCAAGAACAGTGTTTCTCATTTGTCAATATGAAAGGATTATGATAAAAATAAGAAGACATAATGTTTGTAATTTATTCAATCAGACATTATATATATATATATATATATATATACTGTTATATTACATTGAGCACTGTTTTTTAACACTAGCACTATATGTGCGATATATTATAATTTTACATTTACATTTTACTCCTTTTAGTCAAGCATTGTTATAGGTGTTATGTAGTTGACTGTTTTACCCAAGATAGTGTCATAAAAAGAATAAGGTGGAAACTCTTCTTCTCTAAAGACAAGAATGAGTATAACAACTGAAAGATGCTGAACTTTAGGGATTTAAGTCCCCCCTACCAAAAAAAAAAAACTCTATGTGATTACCTTTTATTGAACTTCAAAAAAGATCTATTCTTCGTAATAGGCAAAATTAAATTTGTGAATATTACCAACAAACTACAGCAAAAAGTGCTAAAGGATGTTGTTATGATCAAAAAATCTGACAAAAAAATCATCAAAGCAGATAAAAGGGGAACCATTATAAAGTTCTTGCAGATATGTTCTATAAAGCCATTAACAAAGATGTTAATAAGTTTTATAAAAAGGCACCCAATAACTGGGATAGCAATCAATAGTGAGGCCAAGAAAATAGCCACGGAATCATATAGCAACCCTAATACTAATTACTCAACCCCACCAAAAATAATATTGGTATAATCAGCAAGAACATCTTTGAAAGAGCATGCAAATAGACCAAAAATGATCTGGGAATTAACCAGTGGCACAAAACAGGTGAAGCTATAGTATGGATTACCAATATAAAAAGTAAAAATGAATGTACATTCATCCAGTTTGATATGTGTGACTTTTACCCATAAATTTCTTCCTTGAACCACTGTGCCACTCAAAACCACTAGATTTCTTCCTAGCATGTTCCCCATAATATATTTTTAACTAGGTTAATGTCTCACTAGCAGTTTTAGTAATCTTCACACAAAATTTGATGCTAATCCACTATTCCAGATTTCTTTCACTCATTTTCTACCAACAGTATACAAACACATACAACTTCCTCTGCTGTTCAGCAACAAATTACTCATTTAGTCTGTCTCAAGAAAACAGAAGTTGGAATATATCTAGATCTGTTCCTATACAAATATTAATTGCCTGACCCAAAATTTCATTGACAACTAATTTTTTTGTTTTTTATTTCACTTTTCTTGTTTACACACAAAGAGGCATGTGTTGGCAATTAATGAATTAGATTTTTCTACATCATTGGGGATAACATTGGATATAAATGAATTAAATAAGTTATTTTTGGTATTTTTATTGCCATTCTTTTCTTAAATTAACTTTCAAGTTTAAAAAAATCATAAGCAACATCATTCATTATTTATAAAGAATCCATTACATTTTTAATTTTATTAAGTTCTTTTTAAAACGTATGCTACAAAGTGGTAATGTGAAACTTATTGATTAACCTTTTAATAACATATATCTATAAACATTCACTATTATGAGACATGGATTAAAACTTTTTGGTTTATCTTATAAAAACAATAAAGATGTAGCTATTGTTTTTGGCTTATCAACCTTTTACAGATTATGTTAAAGCCAGAATTTTTTTTTACATTGTATGAATTTTTTTGAAGATAATAATAATTTAATGATATAAGTCCTATTAATTAACCCATGGCTGCAGGAAGAAGAGGTGCATTCATACCTTTTCCAAGGGTATTTGTGCATAAGTGAATATAACAACCACAACTAGTATTGGAACTTGTCTCTCTGATTTCCAATTCCAAGCCATTATCCATTATACCACCCACATATCCAAGTATTCTGGTATTTCTAAGTGGCCACACATCTAGGTACTGACTAGGCTCAATGTTGCTTAACTTTGGTGATTGTATGAGAAGCAGTGTTTCAAAGTATATGGCCATAAGCATGCCACCTGCACATCCAATGTTGCAGCTCTTGGTATTTCCAAGTGGTCACCCATCAAGTTACTAATGGTGATCATACGAGAACTCACATTTCAATGTGATATGGCCATAAGCTTGCAATTATTTTAAGAAAGGGATTCTATTTTTAAGTTCATTAGTGAAACCTTGTTGTCAAATTTACCAGAAGCACAAATAAAATAGTCTATTCCCAAAAGCATTATATATATCTTCAGTTATATATGCTAAACATATGAGATTAATTATCTATTACAAAAAAAATAAAATACCAAACCTTATCATCAAATAATTCTTTATACTCAAAATCTTACATTAAAATAATGCCATCTATAAATTACCTTGTTCTTTAAAGAGTTGTTTACTCAGTAATGCTCAAATATTTCATTTGTATATTGACACTATAGCTACTAATCTATCTGATAAATTAACTTCTATTTGTCTAGCCCAATGTGCTCATATTAATGAATAATTAGACTGCTAGGTGTTGGTGTCTTTACTATTATATATTAAATATTCATTGATAACATGCGATGATGCATCTGCAAAGCTGTATTGACTCTATCTTTCCCTTGGACAACATTGGTGGTGTGAAGAGAGGAGATGTGCTGCATGGGCAATGACTGATCTCTCATAAAAACTTGCCCAGGCCTGCACCCTGGAGAGGACACTCCAGTGTCATCTCACCATGATGGCATAACATGGGAAACAACAGTCTACTGATGGGAGGATTCTGAAGGTCCTTCTATATAGGAAACTGGCTACTGGCAAGAGGGAGACCTCATCTTTGCTTCAAGAATGTCTGCAAAAATGACATGAGGGTGATGGGCATGGACATTGAGAGGTGAGAAGACATTGCTAATGATCGCTCATGATGGAGATGCCATTTACACCAAGGGCTGGAGTAAGGAGAGAAGAAATGGAGGCTTGCTGCCAGGGAAAAGTGTGCTGAATGAAAGAAAACAACACAGTAACAGTGAGGGAGAGAATCTTCACATGCATTGGCTACAATTGAGACTGCCACTCCTGTGTGGGCCTGTACATCAGTAGCAAAGTTGAACTTTAAATATGCTCAGTAGCAAAGTTGAACTTTAAATATGCTGAACATGACGAAAAATGTATTAAAGAAAAATAAAATTAATTGTATGCAAAGATTTTGCATATACATTTTGGGCTTAATATTTGCAATAAGAATTATTTAAAAAATTGAAAAATAAAAATAGTAACATCTATAGATTTTTGCCCTTAGATTTTGAGACCTTTGATCTTGCTAATGGCTTGGATATGATTTTAAATAATTAGACAATGTTTTCACTCACTCCAGATATGCATTCTTTTGTACAAAGCAAGAGAAGTTAATTAAAAAAACAATTTAATTTCATATATATATATATATATATGTGTGTGTGTGTGTTCAGACAAGGTGGTGCTGAAAAGTTCTCATCTCTATCTACTTTCAATCTGACCAATTAAACATACACCAGAATTTCTTTTGGAAGTGCAGTGCTTCTTGGTTAGTAAACTCACATATGTGTATGCATTTTAACCTTAAGTAGATGTGACTTTATCTATATATTTTAATTTACATACAAACAAAACAAAAATATATGAGTGATTGAAACTAAAATAGCTAATTAAAAGAGAATGAGTTATTCTTCTCAATAAAAATATAGAAATTATTATCTATCATATGAGAAAATGTAGTTCTTTGTTTATCAATTCGTGACACACAGAAAAATACTGAAATGTTTGAAATGTTATCAGACACATTTTAATAAGCAGATTCAGAAACAAAAATAAAGCAAATAGATCAACCATTTTTCTAATCTCTTCTCATGATAGCAATTTTGTCATTTCTACAACATCTACAATATACACAAGTCAAACATTTTTCACATCTAGAGTTTTATCTCAGTTTCTACTTTCAGAAGCAGATTCTAACAAAAATGGACATTGTTATTATTCTTGTGAAGCCTTAACAGAAATTATATAAAGAGAACAAATCATTTGCTGCTAAAACATGAGTGGATTGATGTAATTTTTGCTGAAAGCAGAAAGAATTGGGCCTTAGTTAAATTATGAATCATTAAGCCTAAAAATTAAGAAATTTTAGACAAATTTCTTGCTCATTTGAGAATTATGTTAGAGTAAATAAATGTGTGGCCATTTGAAAAATTATAAATTTATAAGTTTTGAGTTTTATAGCAAAGTACTCTAATTTCAACTGCAAATTTTCATTTGAAAATAAAAATTGTCTTTTTATTTCAGATAATATCTATAATGTTACTGTCTATACAGGAGATATAAAAGGTGCTGGAACTAATGCATCTGTCTTTATCACTTTATTTGGAGAATTTACTGATTCTGGAAAACACAGATTAAGAAGTTCAATAAAAGATTTTCAACGTGGCAGGTGAGTAACTGTGAAACTATGTTTATTATCAATAAGTGATTGGCCAATACAGAAAATAATGCAATATTTTATTTAAAATATGTAAAGACAAATTACTTTCATATTTCATGTTTTTAAAATGATCCAACGCAAAAAGATTGTAATGATGGATATTTTATTAGTATGTGACTGCTGGACCAAGTGAATACTTTATTCTAGGAAACTTCTCAAATCCCAGATTGTTATTTAAATAACAAAGGTAAATATGAAAATACACTTTTGTGAAAATTATCTTTTTAGTATTCTTGCTGACAAAGTCCTATGATAGAATAGCACAGAAAGATGGAAGATCAATCTTTACTGAAGAATTTATTGTTAAGTTTTATGATTTCTAATGTCTTCAGCTAAGGAAACTTGAACATTTTAAAGACATTTTGTTGCACAAATGTCCCATGATATTTGGTCAGTTGTTGGCAGGGGGTTATATGCTTGGCAAGATGGTTTTGGCAACTTTTAGAATAAAAAAATTGATTCCATGAGAAAAATGACTGCACTAAATTCCTTCTTTTAATTTGATATATTTAACTTGATTTGTAGACATTCCTATTTCTTTTTTGTGTTGTATGCTTGTGATTAGTAGGTAGCCAATTTCTAAAGGAAATAAAGAGTTCATTTTTTTTTCTTAAAAATTTTATTTAGAATGTTGCATGTAAGTGAAGTCATCTGAGCTGAAGTGTTGCTTCCCTACTACAGAGGTAATGCTAAAAATGTTGAGAAATTGTCTTCTTCATGTAAATACAAAAATTTTTCCAATGGATGGGATATAAAAAATTTATTAAAAAAAATAGGTGTTTCTTGCTTAATCATTTCTACAAGAACATGTATTGAGCTTTCTGATTAAAAGTCACAGTATCATATATTTTATAAGCTCAACAGAAGGATTGTTGGCTTCAAATGAGACAGCTTTCTGATTCATTTCCCACCTGTTGGCTAGATGTGAATGCTAATCACTCTTTGCATCAAGCATTGCATTTGGTTCACAAAACAAATCCACGCAAAATATAAGATACAATTTATACATTGGAACCAATCACAAACGTTGCTGCTAAAAGCATGATAAAAAGACGTTGAGTCATGTATCCACTCTGACTGCTTAAAAGGATATGCTCATGACACTCAAGAGTAGGCAGGCAGTCACAGAGTTCACCAGTAGCCTCCTAGTCAACCAACCCAACACAAGCTTCAACACAAAGCATGGACACCACCATCCTCCAGCTCACTTGCCTCACCCACAAAAGAGACATTATGCCAGCAATACAGAGAATTTCATTTTAACATATTTTGTCCCATTTTCTTTCCATCTCACTGGCAGTATTTTGTTTTTAGTTGTTGTCTTGCACCCATACGTCGCATATAACAACCATTTGTGTTCATTTTAAGAATCAAAGAATAAAAAAATATACCTATCTGATTTTAAGACATTTTTCTCTAGATGATTGTGTAGCTCTAAGCAGACATCATGAATAATCTCTTAAAACCTGTGGCCATTTTATTTATATCAGAACCCTCATGCAAAAGTTTTAAAGAAAAGACAAAATTAATAAGTGAGTGTTAGCATCTATATATTTTGCTTGCAATGTTGGAATTTGCTCAGGCAAAGTGAAATTGAAAGACAATAATGGTTTCAATATATATATATATATATATATATGCTATTTTTGTTCTGGAAATAATAAACATTTGGTTTCTTCTAATGTCATTTTTTCTTTTAAACTTTTAAAATATTTTTTATAATGTTATATAGAAAACAGAAGAGAATGTTCAGATACTGAATGTAATAAATGACTATAATTAAGTCACGGTAGCTTTTGTTTGAAAACAGGTTTCCCAAGTATTGAGCAAATATATTTTAAAAAAATCTCTAGAGTGATTTTATTAACTTTAGTCTATTAAATAATCATGTCTTCTCCTTTTTCATATAATACCATCTGTTAGATTATATGGCTACAGTGTTATAAATTAGACAAAAATCAAGTAAATAATTATTTCTTTAAACCATTATAAAATAAATCTGTTTTCGTATTCTCAAATATTTGTTTGTTGAAATTATGAAAAATTTATTAATATTGCTAAAAAATTGTTTTGAAAATAAAATGAGTAAAAAATAAACAAAACTGTTCTTGACATTATTCTTTCCTGGTATATTTTCAGGGTTGATCAATTCATTATAAAATGTCCTTGCTTAGGACATTTGGAAAGAATACACATTGAACACGATAACACAGGATTTGGACCAGGATGGTTCTTGGATAAGGTAGGGTATTGATTATTATTTAAAAAAAGGAAATGTGAGATTTGATTTGTGACATATATAAAGTATAAAATTGTGATTCAAATCAGATTTTTTTGATGATTTAGATTAGTTTGCTAAATTCAGTAGAGAAAGGCAATCATATAACAACAATAATAATCTGTTTAAAGTGTTTCGATATACTGCAAGAAGAATAAAAACAATACTGTGATTTTATTTCTTACTTCAAGTGTCACAAATCAAAACCAAATTGTTATTCTGTAATTAAATCAAATCATTTCTTTATATAATGCTCAAAAACCTTTGCTATTCACATTGTTAATGGACTTCAATTCTCATATTTTCACTTATAGATATTTTTTATATTTTTCATTCTGCCTTGCATTCCTCATTTTTATGCTTCAGTTTTACACTTCTTCCAATTCTTTTTTATTTGTTCTAACAGATCTATTTCTGTTAGACATAAAAAATTACTGTTAAAGTTCTCATTGAATTCTTTTAACCTATTCATTCCTCTCTATAACCACAAAATTCAAGTCCAATGCTAAAAAATGACATATTTTGTAGCCCAATAAGTTTATTCATTTTTGTCATTAGATGCCATTAAGCTTTTGCTAACTTCATTCAAAAATATGGTTTTCAAATGTTTTGTGATATTTAGTATATCATTAGGTATTTTGTAAGAAAAATTGTCAGAATTGGCATATTTTTATTTATTGATTATAAGATAGAAGATGGAGGAAAGTAATCATATTCTTTTTTATTTGAAGAAAAATAAACATGTGATTGAAATTCTAAAAAGATTTGTGCAGTTTATGGATAAAGGACTGTGAATAATAATGATCTTTGTCAAAAGTAGTTTACAAAGTTTGTTCTCTCACTGAGTTAGTGGTAGTGAAGAGAACGCAGGTAATACTTGTGAATAAAACAATGTTACACAATGCAAAAGAGATCACCAATATACTCAGAATATTCAAATCAAGAAATGAAAATTATTTTCACAAAATTTATTATTTTAGTCATTTTGATGTGTTGCTTTCACATAAGTGAAAAACCCTATTAAACCATCTGTGAAATTCACTATATAATAAAAATTGATTGTTAATTTTTAAACAAATTGTGATGGATGGTGTAGTTTTGAAGGCAAAAGATAGTGAAGCAAATGAAATAGACCACCTCGAACAGTACCAAAAACTGGTTTTCATTCAAAGAAAATGATGCTCTTTTTATAGTGAGATTGGAAGTGAGTCCTCTACTTCCAGGGAACTAAAATGATTGTACTAGAATTAGACCAATTTAAATTTGTACAAGTACTAGAATTAGACCAATTTAAAGCAACAATCAACAAAAAGTATTTGGAATGAAAGAAAAAGTATAATATTCCATCGTAATGAGTCTATTTCTTTGGTTAGCAGGCAAATATTGCTACAGCTTGATTGGAATAATTTCAATCATTCACCATAATCGTACCTTTAGTTGATAATTTATAGAATTCATTTGATGTAAAAAAAAAATATAAAAATAATAATTCCCTGGAAGTCGTCTAGAACATTTGTTTAATAAAAAGGATAAAAAAAAAATTGGAGGGATTGAATTATAAAAGTACTTGAAAGATGGCAGAATATAGTGAAGCAAAGTAATAAATATATTTTTTCAATAAAATTAATACCAAAAATTAAAGAAAAGTCATATTTTTGCTTAATAAATTAAATTTATTTAATAAACAGAACATTTTTTGTTAAATGAGTTTGAAATTATAGTAATATTTTTTTGCAAATTCAACAATGGTTAAAAATCTCTACTATCGAAAGTAATTTCAAATATTTTAGAATCCTAGATTTCACAAGTAAAAGGTTGAACTTCATTGAGTATGAGATGTGTAATCATAAATTGTAACATGAAGAGAAACAATATTACATTTAGAAAATACACCAAAAGCAAATATTGTTAAATATAAATTATAAGAATAAATTTTTATTTATATTTAATCACATTCAAACATTACACAAATTTCCTGAAAATATAAACAAAAGTTTTGTTTATTTTTTAAATAATAGGAACAATTTCAATGTCATCTCACTTGTCACAAATCATTTTTTTTATTTGTTGTTGATTTTTTCAGGTACAGTGAATTAAACTTTGATTATGTATTGCAAAGATTTTTTCTGTTGCCAAACAATTTGGATATCAGTTATGAGTTATGGCAATTATGCTGACAATGGAATCTTTTTTGAATGAAGAACTTCCAGTGAGTGTATAGCAGACATATTCTTTCTCTTATCAATAAATTTGACCAGAAGCTGGATTTATTTTATATCTATAGAGAAAAACATACTTAAAATTAGATATTAATAAGATATCCTTTGTAAATATAATAATATATAATAAATGCTTAAATGAAGTTCATTAATATATCATTTTAGTCAGGTCAAATTTGACTGTATATTTAGATAAGGAAATATGGCAAAAAATGTTTATTTAAATTTGGCAAGTTTGGTTATTCCAAATATATCATTATATTTTGAACACTGTTTATAGATCTGGACACAAGTATCATTGGGTCTCTAGTCAATAAATTCAGGAAGTGATAACTTCTAAATTCCTTCCTTCTTTCTTTAAGGTATAAATATTCAGTTGGTTTGGTCCAGTTAAGTTTTGACTAAGCATTTGCATTTAATAAAGTTTATTTGCAAAGAAACAATTTAAACTGCATTTTATAGTTTTCTGAAAAAAAATGATCTATTTATTTACTTTTTCTTCATTGATAAAACACTGACAGGTTCAAAGTTCCTGACTTCAGTGCTGTAACCTATTTTAATCTTTTTACAAAAATATTAGTCAGCTGAAAAGTAAACCACTATGATATACATGGAGAAAAACAGAAAATGGAACAAAATAATTTGAAAAAACTTGTAATTTATCTTCAAAAGAAACTGGTTTATTAATGAGTTAGTCATATATATATATATATATATATATATATATATATATATATATATATATATATATGACTAACTTCATATATATGTTAGGAAGAAATACAACAAATCCTGGTTATAATTTTACATGAAAAACATTAAAAGGTACAGGATTGTCCAGCTTTAAACTTAAATGTTTGATCCCTGGTGCATCAAGATGTTTAACTTAGTCAGCTCTGACTTTTGTTATTATTTTTATTGCTATTGTTTTTAATTATCTCACATTCTGTCAACAGTCATTTTCTAAGGAAAGAAGACATATTGTGTGGGCCTAAATGTAAATGTACTGTAGAAAATTTTAAAATTATTGCACTTCAAAACATTTATCTTAATAAAGTATTTTCCCTGTTAATTAAAACTGCATTCTTTAAGTCATTCATATTTCTTGTCTAAGTCAGAATTATGGCCAGAATTATTACAATGACAAACTAATGCATTGATTGTATTGTTTTGCAAAAGATCCATTTTGTATTCATATCTTATTTAAATTCCTAGATATTTCACCAATGAAATTAAACTAAATTGTAGACTTCTTTATTGGTTTAAATATTCTATTAGTAATTTATCCTGAATTATTTTTTTATGATGTGATGCTATTTTTAGAAATCTATAATTAGTACCAGATTTTTATTTTAATTTTCATAATACAATTTCTTTTTAGAAAACCTTTAATTAATTCTGGATTTTACAATGAGTTAACCTGTGTGTGTTCTTTTAATAAATGATAAAAAAAATCTTGTTTGGAATTAAGTTATCATTGAACTTAATTATTTCTTTTTATCATATATTTGAAGAAACCAGAGTGTTGTATCAAGCAGCATCAATTACACTATTCTAGTCATAGATCTTTGGTAAATATTTTCAGTGACAAAACTCATAAAAATATCAATGATCTTTTTATGTATATTTTAAATTCTATCTGTGAACACATAATATAACTTAGTTTTGTTAACAATAAACATATTCTTCCATTTTGAGAACTTCAGAACCTAATAATGGTCATAAAAGGTATAGAAAATGGTTTCTGGTATGCTTTGGTCAATTCTTCATGTTAATCATTATAAAAAAATAAAAATATACATATTTTCTTAAACAAGGTCAGAATTATAATATTAACAAATAAAGATTTCACAACTGGTTTGGTAGAAATTAAAAAATATTATTGATAGTGTTGCTTATTATATTTTTTTTCCTTTGTAAAAAGGGAATTTTTTATGCTTCTCAAATATTGACAGGTCACTTGACCTGGAAATTTTCACTGTATGAAAGCTTGATTTTTGTGATCTACAATATTGAATATCCAGTGTTTAAATATTATTGATAACTTAAAAACAAAATAGAGTAATACTATATTAGTATTTTTTAATGAACATGCATTTATATACAAAATTAAAATAGCTAGCATATGAAGAATTCAGAGGCATGTAAAAAATGAACACAAAAAGAGTTAACGTATATATTTCAATGTTAGATTCCAGGAAAAAAATTCCAAAAATATAATTTAAAATATTAGAAATTTGTCAGACATAGAAAACAGATCACACAGTATAAAAAGAAAAATTTCAACCAATTAATATTGGTATGATTAAATCCAAAAGAGTTCACATTTATATCATTTGAAAGATAAATGCAATACTTTGTAATATGTTATTGTTAGTCAACTCAAAAATGATAATGGGACCTAGCTGCCAATCTAGTACTGGGCTTAAATTTGTAAAGTCTAGGTACTAAATAAGAAAGCTCAACAGAACAATTACCATGACAATATTTATAGAAAAGGTACAGGGAATGTAATGGGATAGTGACTGAAGCTGAGATGTCAGGTCAGGGCTGATAACATTACAGATTCTTTGGATTTTGTCAAGAATCTCTAAATGTATAGCAGAAGCATATATCCTCTATGAGTGTGCCTACATATTATGTTGTGTTTATTTGACCTTGTTACCAATGGTCTAACATTATTTTTTAATGCATTTATTAAATTCTAGTTTGTAAACGCATATACACATATGTAGATGCTTATGTGTTTACATAGACATGTATATTCATAAGACTGAAAAAAAGCAAACAAAAAATTTCTAGTTCTACTTGGTTTCCATGTGTTTCTGCAATATGTCACACTCTAATGTTGTTGCTATTGTTCTTTTCTTCATTTCTGAATTAACTTTGTTTGATGTAAGCAGTGTTTTTGAAAGCTATATTACCAGATGAGGAAATTAGTATTCAAATTAGTTCCATATGTAAACTACTATTAGTACTCAAAACATCTTTTTCTACTTTTTTTAAATGCTGGATCAACATTTTCTCTTTTGCTCCTGTTTAAAAAACATGGTCACTTCATTAACAGTGATTTTTTTTCATGATTTTTTTTCTCAATTGTCAAGAAATTGAAATGGAAAGCATCACTACATTTCAATTGTTCAAGCTTTATCATTAGTTACCATTGATTAGTACCTTGTTATACAACAGTTTACTTTTGCAAACCCTATTTAACCTCTCTGTGTGTGTGTGTGTGTGTGTGTGTGTGCATGTATAAGCATATGTAGAGGCATAAATATTCCATTTCTGAATTATTATCTTTATCGGGGATGTATTTTTGTGTTTTTTTTGTTTTTTTTTTTACTTTGAAACATTGTATGAAAACGCACCAGATTAATATGAAAAATTTCAAGTTTGGAAATTTTATTAATAATTTTAAAAAAATGTTTTTTTTTTCAATATTTTTAAAATTTTATTCTTTTTATTATAATCATTTGAATCTTTTTAACAGTTTTTTTCCTTCCTTCTCTTTCTCAATTCTCTTTTGCCCACTTAAGAGTAAGAATTTCTGTCATTCTAATTTGTATTCTAATTATTTCACCAATTCTGATCTATTTCTTTAATGGAAAAATATTTCTTCCTTTTTATTTTGAAGGAAAGACTTTTCAGCAAATCTATTATCACCGATCAACATTCTAATGCTTTCTGCTGGAAAGATATTTGTCACATTTGAAATTTGTAAAAGGAGCTTGTTTGTATAAGTAAAGAAATTTATAATGTAATTCTTTGAACCTGAGATGTATTTGATTATAGCAAATTTTGTGTTAGTCTGAAGTTTTCTGAATCATTATTATAATTCTATGATTTATTTAGACTAGCATCATTATCTGCATCCCATGAGACAACATGTACATGTTAATGTTCAGATAATATATTACTAGTTAAGATTTGATTGCCTACTGATTGGAAACACTGTGATCCAAGTAAAGGTGGGAGAATTTATGGGTTTTGCAGCAGTAAAGATTATCTGAATATCAGTTTTAAGAAGTACCAAAAAATCAATGGGAATGCTTTGAGCCAGATTCAATGCGATTTATAATAGATGAAATCGTTACCAAAAAATCACTTTCAGAGATGTACCCAGAGAAATAGTTCATGATATGAGCAATCCATCAGTGTTTGAATCTATTCCAAATTGCACAATAAAAAATGAATTAAACAAACACAATTGATACATCTTTTAAAGACACAGAATTAGTAGTGAATATTGTTTATTTATATGGTCTTTTATTATAAAACATGCCTTACATTCAATTCCTTTTTCTTTGGCATACAAAATCCTTCAGTTCTTCTTGATAAAAGCATTGAAAAAACTTTCTGAATTCTTTGCTTTTTAGTAAATACTAATTTTTCTATACGTTTTTTTTTCATATTTCAAACCTTTTACCAAATTATCTTGCAAGTTTATGAAGGAATTTTTAAAATGTTAATAACAATTCAAATTTTTCATTATAACAAATTTTATCAAGTAATTTGTAAAGTTACTGATTCTACAACTTGACTGTACATCTACATATACTTATATATAAAGTAATGAAATATATAAGTAAGTAGAATTAGCCAGGATAGTTCAAAGCATTCTTTAAATACACAGCATTTTTACCATCTCATCCAAACTGACTTGGGATCCAATTTTTAACTATTTTAAACTAAATAAGTTTCTAATACTAAAAGACCCAATTCTTTATCATTGTAATAGAGTAAATTTTAACTTTTAGACCTGCAAAAAAAAAAAAAAAAGCACATATCAAAAGAATGTCTTTTCTCTTGATAACTGTATTACTGTATACTCACTCGACAATATTTATTGTTTTTAAAAGCTATGTTTAGAATTTTAATAAATATGTTACAGACTATTTAGTTTTTTAGATTATTTATTTACAAGATTACTTTTATATTTACAAGATTTTAAAAATATGTAAACCAGCTACAACGCAATATTATTTACCATTTTATAAAGAAATATGAAAACATCTTTTTATTAAAAAATTTATTAGAATATGATTCCAGACATTATACATTTTCTAATTTGAAAAAAAAAAAAAAAATTGTAATCTAGAATCAAGGATGCTTAATCAATAGTAGCAAACCAGTTAAAATTAAAGACATTATGTAATTATACACAAGGAAAACTTTGTCCAGCCAATGAATAGGGAGAGACACACTCAAAATACTGAGTGTTTGCAGTCTTACCTTTACCTAAAATTAAAAGAATTTTTGGTTTAGAGGAAGAGACGATCTCAACCTACTTTAGTTTATTATGTGATGAAAGCAAATGAAGGAACTCTCTGGAAAATGCATTTTTTCAAAATGCATAATTACATTTACTTGTCATTATGTGTTTAAATTTTCTTTTTGCAGAGATATTTTTATAAATTTATGAATAAAAAAATCTCCTTTCATATTTATTTCCTCATAAAACAGGAAATAATAAATCTTTATAAAAAGGTAAATAATATATATTTCATTATATTTGGTTCATATACTTTTATAACTTCGTAAATTTATGTATGCAAAAATTCACTTTCTTATTTCTTTATAAAATGGCAAATGATAAATATTGCATTATTGTTAATATATATTATAATCTTCTAGATATAAAATTAATTTTGTAAATAAAGAATCTAACAAATAAATAGTGTGTAAATTTTTTGTTGTTCTTAAAATTTTAAATGTAGCTTTGTAAAACAAACATTGTTGAGGGAGTATACAGTAATACCAGTGTGAAGAAAAACCGTTTTTTGACGCACCATTTTTTTTGCAGGTCCAAACTTTGTTAAGGTTAAACTTTGCCATAATATTATTCTGTAAAGAAGGCAAAATAATTGTAAAAATGAATTTTTAAAACTAATTTAAGATGCTAAGAACTCTCTTCAAGGGAACTTTCATAAGTTTTAATTATTTTTTTGTATGTTTTACTTTTTCTGAGTGATTGTTTATCATTCTGAGTCAAAATTTGAAGGTAAAATTCTGAAACAATCTATATTATAAAGATTTATTCTTAAAAGAGATTATAAAGTACATATAGAAAATGGTAGGAATTTTTATGTTGCTCTTGATACAAATAAAGAATCTGGGGATCTTCTGGATGGTTAATATACTATACTGAATTTATTGCTAAGAATTTATTAAATAAATAGTAGCATTATATATGGTTTGGAGAGTAATGGCTTGGGTTTAAAGGTTGAGTTCAATGGAATGGTGATTAAAATAAAAATGATCCATAGATACTTTTCAAGTTTTAGACTGTCTTTCCTTTACGATATGTATAGGATTATCTTTTTCTTTTTTTGCAAGTAGGTAAAGATAGGAGGCATTTCCAATTTAAAAGATTTTTATATTTTCAAGGTTTTGGTAGTTTCATTTTCTCATCCCCCCCCCACACACACACACTTGATAAGAATGTTGAAGCATTTCTAAACACTGAAGAAACAAAAAACAAAAAAAAAAACAGTTTGTAGAGTTGCCATAAATATGTTGTAGGCAAAAATAGAAAATTAATCAGAGATTCATTTTCAGAAGTTTCCAAGTCTATGAATTCATGATTTACCTACCTTGGATATTTTTTAATTCTTTCCAAAGCTTATAATTATTTGTCTTTTGGGATTTTTGCATAATTTTTATAATAATCACATGGATAAAATGGCTTAATCATTCTTTTGTTTCATCTTCTTACATTCATTATTCATTTAACTATTTAAAATTTTTATGCTGATTTAACAGCAACAGGCAAATTCTGGAAACATTACCAAACATCATACAGACATACATGCAAAATTACTCATACATATAAACACTCCCATTTTCTCCCATACACACAATTATATAAACCATAAAAAGACCTATTTAAATATATATATATATATATATATATATATATATGATATACATCATATATGAGTGCATGCACACACACACAGACACAAAAACCTTATTTTTAACTTTTTTAAAAAGTTCAAATGCATTGGCCACTTCCATGGTAAAAACTGTGAATCACAAGATCAGGTTTCATTAATATTTCCAAAGTATTTTCCTCCAAAAGGTAGGATATAAATCACCAATATAAAACTTATATTGTAAAACTACAGGACTTTACTGAATGAATGCAATTAGTAGATGATATACTTCTACTAATTGTCTGTATTAAACACAGTTGGGTGGCTCCAATAGTGGAACAAAAGCCATAGCAACAAAGTTTTTAGGTAAGTAAAGATTGTTAGCATAACTCTAAATATTCCATGTTTAGAGATTTAGAAGGTCCAGTAGTCAATATATCTATTTTAGTTAAGGTGGAGATCTTCATCTTAATGTATAATATAAACCTTGCAGTGGGAAAGGATCAACCAGGTTTATAAGCTAATGAATGGTAAAAAATATTAGTAAACTATAGTCAAAATTTCTTTATGATTAAAGTATAAAGATGGCAACTAAAGTCAACATTGAAATCTACTCTCAACTTTATCTCTCTTATTATTAAATTTATGCAGAGTATGAAGAGTCATTGATAAAAATTAATTTTATTCTCAAATATTGTAATAATCTAAGTAGCCAGAGTTAACAAATTTAAAAAAGTAACTTAAAAGTTGTTGAACATGTACATGTATGCAACAGCCACTCGCATGTGTGTGTATTTGACTGAATATGCATACATATATTTTTACATAAACCTGCAAAAAGATGGCATTGTAAATTATCACTTTAAAGATTGTTTAGGCCTTCAGTGTCATTTCTCCAGATCTGTGTGTGTTTATGTGTGTGATTATATTTTAAGCAGATACTTGCAACTTATGCATGTAAATAGATGCATATTTATTATATGCTTTAAATTTATATATATATATATATATATATATATATATATATATATATATATAAATTTCCTTCACACACATACTATATATAAAATAATACTAGCACACACCAATCATACCTCCAACAAGTATATATGCATTTATATGAATAACATGATTTTCTGAATCCATTCAAAGTGTTTTTGTTTGCTTTTGGCATTTTTTTTCTCTCATTTTTGCCTTTTTCTTCTCTCATTTTTGCCTTTTTCAGAAATTTCACTCTTTGTGAATTTGATGATTACTCTGTTGGTTTTCATAGTAAATTTTCTTTTCCATGCATTTTAAATTCTTTACACCTTAGCATGGTGAAATTCATCTTGTCATTTATTTTATTCATTTTAGTGACAGAAACTGTGTAAATGTGTCTTTAGTTCCTGCTTGCATTATGGTATATTAATGCCACACTTGTACCAGCTAGCTGTTGGACTCAGGAATCCAATCATCCTGATGTAAGGTTCTTCTCCCCAATTACTTCGTCGAAATCCTGAAAAGATAAATTAAAACTTATGCATTATTGAAAAAAAAAAAAAAGCATGTCTAATATTTTCTGAGGCATTTTCTAACATTGCATAAATCAAATAAGTATCAGACAAATTCACAGGATAAAACTAATAAAAAATTGTATTTAAAAATTACAGATTATGTG